TCAGTAATCACTAATCAGTATGAAATATAAATTTTAAATACCATGAGGCATGAGGTATACTGTCATCTAAGTCTAATGAACAGATTTTCACAGTCCTGTCAACTCTTGGTGGTTCTATACAATATAAATACATCAAAATCTTCACCTAATTGAAAAAAAAATAATATTAATAAATATTAAACAAATTTTTCTAACCAATTGAGTCTTTAGTAATCACTAATCACGTTTAGCTCTTTTAGTTTAAAAATTGGAGTGAATTGACTTCTTATACAATTTAAAGCTAAGATTATTATTTAGACAACCTCATTGGTTTTTATTATATTTTAATTTTGAAGCGAGTTATAAGAATTGTAACTTTTAACATGTACCTACAAGGCTACATACCATTTAMAATTTTAAAGTATAAGTAATAGTACTGAACATGTAATTACACAGGTACTAATAACATAGGTATCACTATTTAATGAATTAATRTTTAAATTGTGAACTCATGGGCCTCCACACGAACATGTTTAGTGGGGCATATTATTTTCTTAAAGAGTAAATAAAATATTTGACATAACTTACCAAGCGGTAATAACAATGAAGGCGTATCTTCTTTATGTAGTCGTTTTGTACCAAGTATTTTAAATTGGGGATCAAAATGCATRTCACATTGTCACAGACTACATATTTTTCGTACGCTTCCATTATAGAAAGATTATTCAGTTTTTTATTGCTACATTTTGAAACCCATATATCAAACAAATGTGGATCTTTTGGGAACCTATGCTTGATACCTTTACGGCTTTTGCAACTATTTACAACACACATTTGTGACGGCATTATAAAATGATWCGTAACGTATACACTATTACACTAAACTTTTATAAAATAAAAACAATAAAAAAAGTAATGTATAATGAAATAGTATAATGTGAAAATATAATGTACCGCATGTAATTCGTTACTACACAAGTACAAAAGAAAAAAGAAATAATATTTGTCTTGTTTTGACTTTTGGTCTACTACATAAATAAATATAAATATTATGTTTGGTTAGTGCTGTTGGTAGAACAGTTTATGAAAAATATGGAGTAGTTGATAACAATTGTCGCTAAAATGTTGGTCATAATAAGGCGATAGGAGTTATCCCCCTATGACAGTGACGTATCCACGAGAAGAGAAGGTATAGGTCTGGACTTCTAAATCTAGAATTTATTCTTATCAATCGACACTTAATGTTCCTAATGTACCCATCTTAAATTAAATACTATTGTTACTAATTAAATATTACTTTTAACACTTACATTACGAACTTAAGAGGACGTCTAACCCGCATGTGTTGTCTCCGTCTTACACACGTACGATCTAGCAAATTATCGATTGCTAATTTCAATAGGGTATTGTCAGTTTTGATATTAGAGTGRATCCACCTATTATCAAACTTTTAGGTAGCAACATTATCTGTGTTCTCTCGTTGGTTTTTTACGATATTTTAATTTTTAAGTGAGTTATGAACATTTTAAAATATTCATAATTTGCATACCCATAACTCACTTAAAAATTAAAATATCGTAAAAAACCAACGATAGAACACAGATAATGTTGCTACCAAAAAGTTTGATAATAGGTAGATTCACTCTAATATCAAAACTGACAATAGGTACCCTATTGAAACTAGCGAACGAACATTTCCTATGTCGTACGTGTGTAAGACGGAGACAACACATGCGGGTTAGACGTCCTCTTAATAACTGAAGAACAAAATATGCTATAACGACAATATTGAAATTTACCTTAATTTATATGCAAGACACAAGTTGCAATATTTATGTTAGGTAAATATAAAATCAAAATGCAACTATTAGGTAAGCGTATATGTTCGTCATACATATACTAGGTAATTATAATTTTTAATGCAAGTGTATATACATATTATATGGTATGCACATTGATTAAGCATACTTAATCAATGCTGGTTTCCACAATGCATTTATTTAAAATGTCGGTTGTCTAATTGAAAATATAATTAAACATTATTTAATAACCAACTTTTATTTCAGATTACTATACCTATTTATGTTATTATTATATTTATAAATTCATAATTCATATTATTATTTTATTTTAGATGTTTTAGATTCTGAATGGACAATGGACTAATGGAATAAATGGAGTGATAATCAACGTATTTATTTTACAATGATATGTTTTTTTTCGAGTCAGTGTACACGAAAATTAGTTTAAAAATGCTTCAAATTTCAACTAACTTGACTTTTTTGAGTTAGCCATTAAACATTTTTGTTTTTTAGTTTTTTTTTTCAATKATAGTTTATAAATTATTTTTCACTTGGTCAAAAAACATAGAAATGTAATACGAGGTTCTTCATAAGTTGTTAGTAGTGTAATTAAAAAAAAAAGTTGATTGTAAATTAAAATCATGAATATTTTAAAATTATTTTATCCTGAGTTAGAAATTCATAAAAAATTTTTTTTCATATTTAAGGTTTGAAAACTTAATTCGAGATTTTTCACAAGTTGTTCTTCTTATAATAAAAGTTAAGGGGAAAGTAACATTCATTTTTTATGATTGATCTTATAAGTTTTTAAGACATTAGAATCATTAGATATACTGTAATCGACACTCATCGTAGATAAATTATAAAGATTTCTCGTCGAATGACTTTTGTATTTTATATTGTAATTCAAAAACGATTAAATATGCTGTAGATWCTAGATATGCTTAATTTTTTTCACCAAATTTTTATTATATAATTTTCTAGAGGTACATAATTATATATTCAAAATATTTRATTCTTTTTGAAATATTTAAAGACATTTGAAATTTGAATTTATTTTTTCTATGAATATCGTTAAAAAAATTTTCATTTATATATGAAATATATATTGCAGTGATAAAATGTGGATATCATATATAGTTATAATTCTTAATACGTTTGGTGTTCATGATGTGATAAGTCAATAGTCTATAAATAGATTATTGTAAATGAAAAAAAAWTAAAATTATTATTAGGTTCATTGGCCCTGAATTTTTGGGACAAAAATTGCCTTGATTACTTATAATATAACGACTATTGAGTAGGTGTCCTCTATCAATAACATTTAAACACACTTATGACCATAATATTAATTGTAAAAATGAAATGAAATTAATTTTAAATATTATATTGAAGCATGTATATTTCAGACCATTACTATAGTTAGTAGTTACATTGTAAATAAGTTTGTAGTAGATCATTAAGTCAGTTAGGTTAACTTAAAAGTGAATAGCAATATTATATTTTAATATAAATATATACYTTGACACTAATGCAGTAATCAGGCCCGATTCAAGTGCTTAAACTCACCTAAGCAAACTTGAGTTTTTCCGCCGCTTACATGTAAATAGTAAATACTACATCATATTTTTTTTTACATAAACGWTACTAGAATAGTCTTAATTTGAGTTCATTTTATTTATTTACATAAAACTAACAATTATTTGATTAATATATTAATATATTAATATAGACATGCAAACTCCTACTAATTTAAAAATAGCTGTATTATAATTTATAATACAAAAAAGCGGGTAAGTCGTGGATGTCGCTCTGCTGTACAGTAGGTAACAAAGGGGTTACTGTAATGGATGGAATTAAATTTGAATCCAATGATATTATATCATTGTATACGAAAAACGATTCTGAGCGGAGACGGTTTATCTTTCTAGGATATATTATAGATTATTAAAAATTTGTATGAATTTCTAGCTAAAAATAATTTGCAAATTTTCGTGATTTTCGTGATTTTTACGTATGTTGTCAAAATTAAAATTTGAATGCTTGTAAAAAAAAATTGTGACTGTATTTCTTTTATTTTTCAACTGCTATTGTAAAAATATTTTAGGATCCTTGTATTAAACGTATAATACTAAATTTTAATGTATGGTTATTTTGGGTATGGTAATTTTTGGACATCAGTAGCCTGAATGTTTTAGATTTACAAATTTTGTACATGCACAAAAATGCTGGTGAATAGGTAGATAAATAATAATAAAAATAATATGACTGAATATTCAAATATTTAAAGAAAATATTTCCCCATTTTCCAAGAATAGTTTATGAAAACGCGTATTACGAYCACTCGCTATGTACCGACTAAATGTCCTTTATAAGACTAAAAATAAATAAAAATACGTAGAAAATTCCAACACTAATCACCGTGATGGTTGCAATCCGACTACCTGTTACTGTTTATTTGAACTCCTAGCTATCTAATGAACTAAATAGAAATTGTTTGTMAAATAACAGATGGTTAGGTATTTTATTTTTGTGTTTCAATTATTTTATAAATATCCGAATTCTCGTGATTTTTAATAGGTTCCTAAAATGTGACCATCATCATATGAAATGAGAAAGAATAATACAATATAAGGACCGTTTTGTCCTATGAAGTGATTTATTATTTTATTGTTACACCCCTCCCCCACTTCCCCACCAACATAATATTATAATTTATGCTTTAATATATAAAATATATAAATAAAATACTATAATTTATTGTACAACATTCATTATTACGTAAGTAATGGTATGTCATGTGTGTGTGTGTGTGAGTGTGGTGTTATTAGGAGCAGCGCGCGTGGTCCGCATAGCACAGTACGCGCAACCGAAATGACGAAGGGTGCTGTGCGCACGAATGTACCGAGAATCAACAAATATATTAATATTATTTCCATATAAGTCCAACCAGCCGCCCGCCCGCCCGGTACCGCGAATGACGACGAGTAGGTACGGTGAGCAAATACGGCGTATTGATTATATTATTTCGCGAACTCGTCGCGTCGTCGCCGCGCGTTCTCTGGCGAGATCGCGAGCGAAAGCCTACCGCCCGCCCTCCCAGCTAGGGGCACGCGTCCGTCCCCGCGGTACGCTGCCTCCGCGGGCGGTTACGCGGGAAATGAGAGGAAAAAGAGGCGGGAGAGCCGGCGGCACCGGCGACAGGGACAGAGCAGCAGCGTCGTAGTGTTACCCAGAACACCGACGGACCCGAAGCTCGCTTGGCTCACTCTCTACCACGTCCTCTTACGGATATCATCTCTCCCATCCCGGCGCTCTGCATTGGGCGCCACCGACAATAGACTGTGTTGACAATAATAATATACACTGTTATCGTCATTAATTAATATAATAGTTTAAATTACAGTTGTATTGTATTCGAACGGTGTAACCGGACAAAACCGATCCCGACATGGACATGAATCAAATTTTGAAAGACCTTCCTAAGGTACGTACATCATCATACCTGCAGTATTTGTGAAAACGACGGATGTACCTTTAAAATATAATATTATAATGATCTATGACTGTTGCGTGTATTTTTTTATATTATGATTAATGCATGGGTAGGTTAGGTATCGTGTTTTACGCGCGAAATACGACACGAATCGACAGTAAGTTGATACACAGGCAGCTGGCAGCTGCTGGTAATAATAACATTACTATCGTTGATAATACTTATTAATATGTGATAAATACTTTTAATAATTGCGTTTATTTGGATTGGGTATACCTAGGTAAATGTATATTTTATAAATATCTGATTGTAGTTAAATAATCTGTTCAGCGGAACCATCTAGTACAACGCCTTGTACATATTATGTATATTATACGAGTATTATACTGTATAAATTTATATATTATTATTTAATATTATTATTGTTATTATTAAATTTTAAATGTTTATATTTATATAAATATGCTATTTTTAAAATTGCAAACTGCAATGAGCGATACGCAGTGTATATTGCATAGGTAGGTCGTAGGAACATCATAAAATAGTAAAGTGGTTGAAATAAATAATACTAATCGATTACTTWAAATACGAATAAAATCAAGGCCGTTTACTATTACTTCCTATAATATAGTAGAAACGTTTTATTAAATTACAACAAAGACGTAAAAAAAAAACCATTTACAAAAGATAACAAATTAAATCGTTTATTATATTATTTGGTTGCGCGTAACTAATTTTTATATTTATCACGCACTAGAACGTTTTATTTTAAGGTGTTAAAAATTTTAGTTCAAGTATAAACGAATAATTACAATAATATGATATAATTATGTAACTACTAACTAGTTATACAATAATTAAAGCAGAATTTTTTCTTTTTAMTTTCAACTATAAAATTATAATTTGTTAATAATATGTTCAATAAAATTATTTAAATCAGTTATGAATGAAAACTATAGTGCTTAGTTTTATCACGTTCCTCGTGATATTCACAGAAGAGCGCCTAACAAAWTTTGTACAAACAAAAGGGCACCGCTGTCATATAGAATTGCCATATCAAATTGACTTAACTCCTATAAGGAGCTCTATTAGCCATATTCACTTGCCTTCCAAATCTTTCAATACGATTATCCTCTACACAGCACGTTATCCGATCTTTAGCTGTATTTCTCCAGTTCCGTTTACTGGAGATATTTTTTTTACGTCATCTTGCCCTCAACATCAACTYGGGCGTCTTCTAAATTCCTTCTATCTTGCATGGCTTCTTTCGTAAATTTTACGTTTGAACAATCTTTTCKATTAGACATATATGATATTGATATATCATAATATATATACCTATTAATAATTGTACTCTTTTTAACCKCTATTTTTTTTACATTTTTATATTTAATTTAATTTTATATCGATATAATATGGAACTCTCATATTCTACACAGCCTTGTGGCTTTGGAGATCATCCAACTATCCCAACTATCATTAAAATGTAATTTTTTATTGGTATTGTCTCATCACGTTGTTCGAAAAAATTCACATTATTATGAAAAACATTATCGAATTTGTTAAGTATGCTGTCTAATATAGTTTTCATTTAATATTTATTTATTCAAAAAGACAAAAGGTCAGATTTTAAAATTTTCTGTTTATACTTGGTTTATTGAATTATCTATTATATTGACAATRAGCAGGCAGTTGGCTAGTTTTGCAGGTAGCTATTTTTAATCAAATGTAAATAGGTACAAATCAGAAAGTGTACATAATATAAAGGTTTAGTTTTTATCTTGTATTATAAATATTTGAGTTACCTAAGCCATGTAAATCTTTTAACTTTAAATAATAGAGATATATTGATATATACAATATTCAAATAACTGTTCAATTTCACGGTACCTATAAAAATATCAAATATTCTAATCTAATGGTATCCGTAGATTTTATTATGCATTACCTATTTGGCTATAATATGTGATAGACAGTAAAATATAAATATAATCAACGTCCAAAGGGTACCTTTAAATTAATGTTTGCAGAACATATATTATAAAAATAATTATTTAATATTTTTTTAATAGATCAGTTATGTGGATGCTAAAAAATTACAAAATTTAAATGATCAATGTGTCGTACTGTACCTACGTCTGTTTACCTATAGGCATTAGGCACGTGCACGTAAATAAGAAATATAATACCAATAATATGTCGTAGGTATACATCGTAAAGTGAAACCTCCACTAAATAAATATAAWTAAATAGCTATGAAAAACGGACACTTCCAAATAGCAGATATTTTTTAAAGAACCTACTACAAACTTTCTATAAATTGAAACTTCTGAATAGTGGACATCTCCGAATAGCGGAAAAAATTCTAGCGATCAAGAGAGTTCGGTATTTAGAAGTTTCGCTGTATAAGTTATAACGAAATGTGTATATTGAATATTAATTTATCATTAATTTTATTTAATATATGAATATTGCAGTAAATGGTATATAATTGAGAAATTTAAAAACTTATTTTTTCAGGAAATGCGAGCTATGCACATCAAAGGAGAAAGAGCAAAACGTGAATTGGCTGAATTGGAGAAAAAGGAAAAGTATGCTGTAAGGAAGTTGATGGAGGCAACATTACAAAAGAAAAAGGAGAATGAGGGTAACATTTATAAATACTTTGATAGTCTGTTTTTTTGTTAAAATAATTTACAGTCTAACTGTATTATTTTTTGAATGATCGAAATTATTAAATAATAACTGATACTTGTATGTAGTACTAATATATAGGTATATACTACTTTTATATTTCAATAAACAATAAGACATTCAAAACACATTTGATTTTGTTTAAATATATCGGTATGATTGTATGACAAAAAAATAAAAATATAATGTATTACTGTATGAGGAGATGCTAATACGTTCGGTCCAAGCGTCCATTTACATATTTTATTTACCAACTTGCTCGAAATGACGAAATCTCTGAATCTTCAACAGTTTCATTTTCAACAGTTTCATTTTCAACAGTTAAATTAGTTGAAGCTATTTAGACACTTCAATATGAATTTAATAATTACTTTCAATTTTCGAGATTTCAAACGATACACAAAATGTTTTCAATTACTCGCAATCATTAAAGAATGATTGATGTTAACGATAAATTGTCGAGTTTTAGATGAAAATAATAGATTTACTATAGGTA